CAATTTTTAAAATTAAGTTTTAAAAATTTTATTATAATAATTTTTATATTTGCTAACTAATTACTATTAATAAAAATCATAAAATTTCTTAATAAATTATAAAAATTATAATAATCAAAATTATTCTTTATGATAAATTTTATAATATACTATTATAATTAATATTGCTAAAAATAAATGTTAATAAGATAATTAATGATTAATGATAAAATTTTTTAATTTATAAATTTTTAGCTTATAAATAATCTTATATTATTTATTATATAATTAAAAAATAAAATTTACTATAATATTATTTATATTTATAAAATTAATTAAAAAAAATATTTAAATTTTTCATAAAAGTAAATTAGAAAGGAATTTTTAGTAAATAAGCAGGTAAATTTGCTTACAAACTTTTATAGTTTAAGAAATATATATTATATATATTATATTTTTTATATAGATTATTATAATAATATATATTTAAATTATATAATTAACTAATAATTATAAAGGATTAATAATACTTATAATAATATAAAAATAATATTTATTCTTTATTAAATAAATTAAAATTATATTTTTAATATAATTAAAAAAGTAATTATATAGAAAATAATTATAAAAAAAACTACTATATTTATATTATTTTAATTTACTTTTACTAGAGTTGCTATTATAATATAAAATATTTTTAATTATTATCAAATTATAATATTTATTTTTAAATCTTAATATATTATTCAATTAAATTATATTTTTTAATATTATAAAAATTATAAAAACTATAAAGATAAAATGTAGTAATTATATATTTTTAATTTTATAATAATTTTAATTATAAATATATTTATTTATTTTTATTTATTTTTTTATAATATTTAATTTTTATCATTAAATAATTCTTTTATTTTATTTGATATTTTTATTTATTTATATAATTATTACATTTGATATATAATTATTATTATTTTATATGTTCTTTTTATATTTTTTTATTGTTATATATTTTTTTTATATTGTTAATTTTATAGTATAATTTTTTTAATATAAAAATTCTTTTATTATTTTATTAATTAAGAAAATTATATTTTTATTTTAATATTAAAATAATATTTAATTAAAAAAATTTATTATATAAATATTTTTTATATATTTTGAATAATCTTGTTATATAAACTGATTATATTTATAAATAATTTGTAAATTTATAAATTGGTTTGAATTTAAAACTAATTTAATAAAAAAAAACTGATTACTATATTTTGAAATTTTTTTTGATTAATAAACTAAGAATCAACTTATCTTGTAATTTTATAATATTTTATTTGTTTATTTACAATTTGATGTATTTTTCAAAAGCTTATTTATAAAGTTTAAAAAGTTTTTACATAATATATTTAACTTTTTTTAAATTAATAAATTACAAAATATTAAATAAATTTTAAATTGATTTTGAAAAATAATATAAACTAATGACTAAAACCAAAGTACTATATCTTAATAATTTTAATGTTTATTAGCTTATTTACAATTTAAAGTATTTTTTAAAAGGTTTAAACAACTTTTACATAATATATTTAAATATGTATTTTAAATAATTGATACATTATAAATCATTATATTTTATTATACTTATGATTAATAATATTCTTGTAAATAATTGAAATATATGACATGATCGACATGTGTCACGGAAAATCATTTATAATTATGATCGACACAAAAGGAATCGGTGAAAATAACTGTATGTAGTTAGGCTACTACTCGAGTTCATATTATGTTTTTAATATACTCTTCTCTTCGAATTATAAAATAGAATACGCTATTCTCACTTCTAGTTTCATGTAATCATATTGCTTGGAATATATGAAGCATTAGTATAATAATATTCATGCCACATTAACCATAATAAAATATTAAAAGATTATTACATATCGATTATATCGTATGCAGAAAAACAAAGCTGTCATGTTTCTATTACCGTATAAGAACAAAGAATGATGATTTTTATTACGCATAATGACCTTTAAAATTTTAGTACATTAATTTTAATGGCGCGATATGACTTGCAATTAAAACGTCATTAATTCAATTCCTTTAATGCTGAAAGATAAACTAAAAGAAGGATAATTAATGATCGAGATCACTTTTCTGGGTCTCTGACATTATCATTTTCGAATTTAATATCACAAATACCTTTAATTATGCCGTTAAGTTTTCTGCGAACGACGTGAAAATTGTTCAACTCTCTTTCTTAAATTATAATCACGGAATTTTTATTCTAATGTTGAAAACTAAGATCTAGATAAAGTTTTCATAAACCAAGATCGATATAACGAAATGGTACCATAAAAAGTAAATGATATTATACAATTGAGATAAAGAAACAGTATAGTAAGTAAAAATTGGAAATTAGATATTGTGAAGCAGTGGAATTTCAATAAATTATTCATAAAATATTGCTCATTTGATTCTTGTTTAAATTGAAATAATGTTTCTTTGAAAATTTCAAAGCATCTAACTCATTTTTTTTTTATTCATTACAGTTCGTTAAATGAGAAATAAAAGGTAAAGATTAATCCGTCTATACTTGGTAAAGAAAATTTAATATCAAATAATCTTGTATAAAATTTATAAAATTTAATATTTATATATAGGTTATTTACAGTTCAATGAAATGAGATAAAATTTTACAAAATATAATATAAAAAAAAATGCAAAGATGAAAAATAATTTCCCCATCATAAAAATAATAATAATACAACCCTTCTCGCCACTTCCCAATATAACGATAAACAAACAAATAAATAAATAAATATGATTCGCATATCACGAAAGTGACCATTGAAATTCCTCAGAAAAAACAGTCGGCTGAAAAGTTAAAAAACTCTGATGGATTATAAGAAATATATGATGGTTGATGTAGTTGTGATGAATATATTTGAGAATAATTAATGTTGTCATCGCATGAAAAATTTCCGGGGACTGGTAACATCAATGAAGAGAATTCCATGTTAACTGCAGGAATTGGTGGTGATTTATTTAAGGCTTTCTTACGATTCTTTTTCTTCACGATGGAATGACCAAAAGATTCCTTATGTAATCGATTGGCCTGACATGAAATCTCTTGATATGTATCTTTGACATGTTTTGGTTCTTTCCTCCACCGTTCACCAATGAATTTTGAAATGTCTGTCATGGAATAATTAAAACCTTGATTAAGCAATTCCGTAACAAAGGCCTTACGATAAATTAAAAATTTATTTGGAGATTTCGATGAATTGTTCCTTAATTTAGCCTTTTCAACTATGTCTTTAGCTGTGATTTTCGGTGGATAGGGGACTATGAAATCGGCAGGAATTGCGGGAACAGCTCGAGTTTTGTGAGTGACTGATGCTTTATTACTACCAGGCAGCTTGTTTTCCATAATGAATTGGAACTCACTTCCTTGTTGATGGTTGGTCATTGATGAAAGTGCTGATATATTACTCAAATCTGATTTCATTATTTATAAAAATGAAAAAAAAAAAGGCCGCTCTGAAGGATTTATATACTGTATAACTAGGGCGTCATATAATGATGGATAATCTTATTGATTTCGACAAATTGGGCACAATAAAAAGCTTTTGAAACTCAATAGTGTTGATCTACTCAAAAAATATTGTTATCAATTTTATCACAGACTTTGAAAGTTGCTACTTTTATACATTGCAAAATTTACGAATAATAAACTTTGAGGGTTGCGCATTGATATATTTGAATTTCAAATTAACAATACCTTTTTTTTACTGGATATTCTAATAATAATAATTCGGAGGTACAATTGAACCCTCCGAGTAACACAATTTTTTCTCACGATTTTCTTCAATGGAGTTCGCATTCCGTGATCGACTGATAGTGATTACAAACAATGTTTAAAAACATTTGATTATTTTTTTAGAATTTCCTTTCTTCTTTCACCTTTCGTGTATCGTGAAATTTAGGTTTGATCGGCATCTTACTCGCCTAAGTGCACACCGAGAAAAGGTTAAACGTAGCCAGATAATTGGAACTCACGATCCTTGGTATGAGGGATTTCTGAACTTAAGGTTGGCGCAGTATATTCTATCATCCTAGGACGAAAGAATAGATAGAATTTCACGCCCTCAATCCACAATTTCCTAATCTAGAGAATAAACATTTCACCGCATATAATCGTGGGCATTCGAAGAACTTTTTAAATCCTAAATCATTATACCATAATTTTTTAGTGACAATGCATATTTAATCATATATGCCTAAATTTGGGTCTCATCTATCCGAAATTAGTTTCAGTCACCTTTAATTACATATATCACATGCATTATGCTAATCGGAAATTTTTTTCCGACAACAAAGGGATTTTAAGGATTCTAAAGAAAACAAGGGAAGAGACTATCAAGATATCGTTAACTTGTTTTCGTAAGCACAAGGTCAATATTAATGATTCCTTTTTTGTTTATCACAATATCACGAAGATCCTTTTTTTTTAAATCCACTTAAAATTAATGCTAATCCTCCAAATATGTTAAGCCTTTTACTATTAAGCCTGTACAACGTTGCAATAGATTTATTAGCCTAAGCTTTTCGGTGAGAACATTCCGATAATTTATTTTTATTTTACAATTTTTAATTAGATTTGTTTGGTGATAATCTTGACGGAATGAATCTATTTCTTGATGGCATTTCGCTTATCGCATGATCACGACGCTTCTTTTCCAGAAATAGTGCGAATTTTTGCCTGCTAATGAAAAAGAAGTGCATTACTTTGAAAGATAAATAAATCAAACGTTAAAAAGAAGTATTGTTTCAGATGTATGTTCAAAGAAGTTGAAACAATCGGAATTATATTATGCGGTTTGAAAGTTATTCAGCGATGAATTAATTAATCAATGAAGATGACAACGATAAATACACATAATTTTTTTATTTTCGCGTTAAATAAATTTTTATATTAACTGATATTAATAAATTACACTTTTTTTTTGGTCTGCGAAATAAGGAATTTATGATTGAGATTCGAACTTCTGATGTTCAACCATTAAAGTAGTTGTGATGTTTCCGGTTCCTCCTAGTTTACCATTAGCTTAATGAATGTTGTAATTTCTATTCAAAAAAATAAAGAAACAATTATTATTTTCTTTTAAAATATCAATCTACCTTTGAAATAACCTCCTTTGATATACAAAATGTTTGGTGAATTTACAAAAAGAAACTTTCGAATTTTTCGAATAAATTTCTATTTCTTCAATACTTGTGTTTTTTTTAAAAAAAAAAAACTATATAAAGGCACCGGTGACTACTGCGCCGCATTGTATATTGCACTTGCATTTTAATGTTAAGCCTTAGTGAGAATGATAGTAAAATTTATCCGCAGTTACACAATATGCATGGGGATTGTGAAAAACAATATCATATAGTCTTCCCGATTGGGAAGGGTTTTCTTAGAACCGATGATCATTAAATATAAAATAAATACCAGGTAGAATTTTAGGTCTTTTATTTCGTTAAAATAAATCGTACTATAGAATATTTTGTCATGCTCGCTTAGATTTGTTTCACGTGTCATTTTTGTTTTTGAATAGATTCCGATTGTACATTACATGAAATTCCGATAAAGCTTGATTACAATTAAAGAGAAAAAAGGAAGTTGTTCGGAGCATTCCTTTATCATGAGATTTTTACTTCCTTGTTTTTCCCTGATCTTTTTTTTTAAAACCCCTAGTTTATCATAAAAACTCATCCTTTCTCAATATAAATAAATAATATCTATCATGCCACAATATAACTTCCTGCCTTAATAATAAATTTCTGATTTCTCTTATTTTAGCGGTATCATTATTGATACGGATATAGGAAATAAAGACCTCGTTCCATGTAAATATTTCAACAGATAATATAAACCCTCTCTAATCGATTACATAACGCAAATAGCGGTGCTAATTTATTAGGATCTATAGATCCAATAGAAGTTGTAGGTGCTGAATCTTGTTTATCTGTCATACTATCAATTTTGATCTTATAATCGGCAGATAATTAATTTTCCACCCTCTTCGTCAACGATCGGATCAATATGAACAAATCGACGATTACGATCACCTGATGGATGGACTTTTGTCAATGATTAGAACTAGTTGTTGTTGAATTTGAATTTTATTTTCAATCGAATCTATAAATTCTCACCTTGTAGTATTAAAGTTTATTTTAAATATTAATATAAATTCGTTAAAAACGCATGATTTTTTTTTTAAAGGACCAACAAATGTATTTTATTGGAATGCATGCGATCATGTGGTTTAATAAATTTTTTTCGGCCAATCAGTGTGAGCCAATCAGTGTGAGCCAATCATGTGAATCGTTCAGATATCCTAAGACCACTAATATAAAAATTTAAACTTCAAAGAAAATACCTTTCGCAGATTCAAGAAGGAACAAATATAAAGGCTTTGAAAAAACAAAAACTTCCTTTAATTATATTTACTAACGAATATTTTGCTGGCAAGCAAAAAAAAAAAAAATTTAGAGACTCATAATAAAAAAGCCCTTGTTATGTTAAACTTGTCTTGCAAAAAGTTAAATCTAAACCTTATGACTTTGTGTAACTTTAATATAGCCGCGTCTGATAAATCTTTTTTGCTGAAGCAGAAGTTTCTTTTTTCAATCTTCCAAAAAAATCAATTAAATAAAAATATAGAATAAAGAAAACTTTCATTTACAAACAAGTATAACTTGATAGATGGCTTACTCGAAAGCCTGGGCCCATTTCGAATTTCTATATGGAACAGTCGTAAAAATAGTGTAATTGTTTGAAAGATTTTATGGAGAAAAAAAGCAATGCATTCCCTACTGTAATTCGGATTGAAATTTGCGACACATGCATAACGTTACGTATCTTCTGCATAATTGCGCACGCCTGCACGCATGCCACACATTTTACGTACATATTTGTAATTAAATAAAGATCAATTTCACCTTTTTTTGCATATTTATCTTTTATCAATGAATAATAATCAATGATGATAACTAAATCCAATGTGAATATTAGTATTGAATAGAATTTAAAGGGTAGAATAATATAGCTTCATGTTTACGTTTGATGCAAAATATAAAAATATCACAATTACTCTCCAAATACTTTCGAGTATAATTATAAATAAAACTATTATATTTTTGAATTTTTGAAGTAAACAGTCAAAAGCTTCTTTACACGTAATATCATATGTAGACTAATTGAAATTGAAAGATTGCATATTGTAACACAAATTTCAAATTTAAAACAAATTTGAGATTTACCATATGATTTGGTTTCACAGATACATTTAAATTTCGAAAAAGTCATTCTATTTTAATATATTGCATATTTCATAGCTTTAATTTAATTAAAAGAAAAGTTAGAGTATAAGTTAAAAAAAAAATGGTTTTTTTAAAATAAAATCTAAATTAAATAAAAACTTGAACTTTATAATTATTTATATAATAATATTTTAAGTCTTATTTTTTTAGCAATTTAATTTATATGAAGGTGTATATGGGATGGGATGAGGAGAAAATTAAAAAATAATTTTTAAAATAATTTTTTAATTTTCTTTCTCACACCCCATATAAGTTTTAAAAAAAATATATTAAAACTTTTAGATAATCATTTTTAAATTTGCTATTAATTATTATAATTTACATTTATTAGGATTTTATAATTTGATTTAAAATTTAAATATTAATTTAAAATTAAATCTTTTCAAGTCAAGTTTAATTAATCTTTAATTTAATTAATTAAATTAATCAAGCTTTTAAATATTTGATTTAAATAAATTAATAAAAATTGCTTTTTAAAATTATATATTTTTTTAATAAAAATTACTTTTAAAGCTTAAAATAATTGAAAAAATTATCTTTAATATTTAAATATATTTTTTATTATATTTTTATTTTAAATATTAGATATATATTTTTATTATTATTTTTAATAAAAAATTAAAAAAGTTTAAGTTTTATATAATATTATATAAATAATATAAATTAGTATAACTTTTAGCAAAAATCATAAATTTATACTTAAATTTATGTAAATTAATATAAGTTATAAGTAAATTTATGTAATATTATATCTTTCAATTTTTGATAAAGTTAATTTTTATTTTATATATATTTTTACTACTATTTTCTTAATAAAACTTATCTTAAACTTAAAATACATATTTTATAATATTTTTTTTTTTAGTAAAACTTACTTTCAAAATATATATTTATTAATTTTTATTTAATAATATATTTTATAAAATAAGCATTAGAAAATAACTTTCTTTTATAATAATTATTTTATTTATTATATGTATTTTATTATATTAAATATTATAAATAATAATAAAATAGTTAATTATTATAAAAAATATATATTATAAAAAATAAATTAAAAGTTATATTTAATATATTTTCTTAGTAAAAGTTATTTTTTAAACTTTAGATATATTTTTTTATGATTAATATTTT